ATTGAAATACCGCTTGCAAGAGTCTTTGATTTCCTGCAAGACACCCTCAGTTATTGTGACACGACTAAACCGGCTGATAGCATCTCTTAGCTGAAGGCCAATGAATGCAAACGTGCAAATTTGGAGCTGTTGCTGAGGACTGTCGTCCTCACGTGAAATTGCCTTTAGAATAGACATAAAATGGTGACAGAACTTTTTTGTCTCTTTCCCTGTGAATCGATAGGAAAGGGATCCCTTCCGTCCCTGGGAGCACCACTTTTTTACCTTCTTATACAATCTACTAGCCCAATTTCTTTCAAAGTGGTAAGATGGGAGGCCAAGGCACATCCGGGTACATCCCTAGCTGGATCTGTACAATTGGGTGCGAGCTTGCTTTTGTCATTAGCATGGACAAGCATAAGCTTGTGTAATTGCTAACATGCATTATTTGAATTATGCAGAAGTTCAGCAAAAATCTTGTCAACTAGGGGACCCAAGAGGGGAGCAGTTTCTTGCCGGGAGTTTAGACTTCTTATATACTCTAACAACTTGGTTCTTTTTGTAGACTCCGCAAGTCTTGTTTGACTCAAATATTTCCTTTTTGCCTCAACCTTTGTTGCTACCTGAAGCCTTTCTTCATACACCCATGGCTTCCATAGGCATTGTTCAGATTGACCCAAATTAGCATTAACTATGGACTTGTTGTCATTGTTAACATTGCCAAATGGAGAAAAGTAAAATGCTGAGTTTGCTAGTTCTCCACTAAATGTGGAGGCCCACTTCATGTCAGAGGGTATTAACTCGAAAGTAAACTTAGCTGAAGCTTCACTATCTGGCAGGTAAAAAGTCTTACCCTCTATGTCACCCACATCTGAAACAAGCTTTCGCCCATAGCGCTGCATCGAGAGGTGAGATTCACTACAATTTGCTCCTGCAAGAATAAAGTTGTCAGTTTCACTTGCAATTTGCTGACCTACATTGAGGAATGATACAAGCCAAGAAGTGGCTTCATCATCTTTGCCAAAGGGGGCCCCATCAGCACCTAGAGCTACTCTTAAGTGATATTGTTCGGATCCAAAATGACACAGGGATGGACTAGTCTTGTCTAAGCAAATATACATATCAGCACGCTGCAACAGAAATGGTTGTAGCTCTCTATATGACCCTTCCACAACTTCATCTTCATCTAAATCATTGCAAAAATCTTTAAAATCATTAACATTTCCAACATCAATGTTTTTGACAAAAGTTATCAATTTCTCATAGGGCAAGATCTTCGGTAAGCGGACACTTGACACAAACTTTAGGCTTTCCAGTTACTTGCCACTTTTGCGAGTATTCATGGAAAGATTGAGCCTAATACTTTTATATTTCTCTTTACTCAACAACCCCTTGCTGTACAATACTCTTAGGCTTCTAATTTTATTGTCAAAGCTATTCTCAAAAGTTGGAATACTTTCTTTCACTACCTTAGGTAAAGCTTTCTTCATTACTTTCTTAGATGAGGAAAAGTATTTTGCCAACTGAAATGGTGTGGCCTCCTTAACTAAAGTCAACCACAAAGCATCCAGCATTGGACTTTTATTCTCCCTGGTACCACCATGGATTTCATTACAGGCATCGATGGCCTCTCTTGCACGTCTTTGACAAGTTCTTTTTGCAACAGGAACTGCATATTCTTCAGAACTGGCTTCTGATATGGAGGTTGGAAACCTTTGTCTTTTAAGAAGTTTTCTTTTTCTTACCATGTCAGTCTCGATTACTCTTTTTTTCACTAACTCCACATCATTTTGGATTCTTTCAACCTATGAAAAATTGGCTGGATAGTTAATATTAATTCATAGTCCTAGATTTTCTATCCTAAGATAAATAGAATGGCAAAATCCTGAAAAGAACTTGAGTCAGAAAATTCATGCATCAATGTATGAGACTGTGCTAAAATTTAAACAATTTGCAACTTGAGAAAAAGCAAAAGATACTGAATTCAGTAAAGCTGAGGCACATTCTTGATCACAACATTTCGTATTTATTTTTACAGTTCCCTATTTCATATCTTCAGTCAAAAATAATAAGCACCTATATAAATATAATCAACACCGTCACCATTTATCAAACAAATGAGCAAAAATCAGTCTTTATTTATCAACATAATACATATGAGCAAATTTACTTTTCCTTGCCTTTCTTTTCAGTTTTTTCAGCTTTGAATTTTCCGTCGAGTAGACTTTGCAGTTTGAAATAAATTCCTCTTTGAGTACTTTCCGCCTACGGGCAAGTTCCCCGATTGGAAATTTTTCCTTTGCTATTGTCTTGGAGCTTCTTGCTCTCTTCCTACCCTTCCTTGCCATTTTCGAAAGCAACGAGCAAAGCTCGCTCCCAGTTGTATTAATCCGAACCTGGTTCTGCTTCAACACGGCCAGATTCCAGCTTTCAGCTCACGCGGTACCAATTTACAGAAGCTGAAAACAATGAATCTACATTCAGCAAACACAATATGCAAATACAATGTCTATCACAGGAACCCATCGTTTTAAAATTTTAAAATAGCCTCTAGAAATGTTGTAATCTCTTTCTTTGCCTCAGTACATCATCCCAAGGGTTACGCCACATTGCACGATGAAAAAGTAGAATTTTGCGCCTTTTACTTACCGTATTCTTCTCAAAAACATCGCTACGGAAAGATCCACTTTCACTCTTCCAAAATGGCCTCCTCTTTCGTTCACAGACTCCACAAATATCCCACAATACAAAGAGAACCCTTAAATAAATCTAAATAAATTTACAAAAATTAAAAATGGCGCCCAACGCCATCTTGGATAGAGAAGCCGCTGCTCGAAATGGCCATATTTCGGAGCCCGTCAGCCCGGCATGATTTCTGGCTAGCAGTTCTTCTGGAGGATGTACAAATAAAAGTGAATGGTGGAAATTTTGTGAAGCAAAGAGTGTTCCTAAAGTGACTAAACCAGACAAGTGATTCACTAACATACACCTCCGGTGATGTCTGTAATGGGAATTCCCCCAACTGCATTCTAACCCGAGTACTCGACTTTTCTTCCGATAGATCAGACATCATTTTAGCAACAGAGGAGGCTAACAGGCTCTGTAGAATTGCTAATGGAGACTATGGTGACGATGATGACAATGAGAATGAAACTGCACCATCAACCGCAGAGGATGAGGAAGAAGTATCCCTCCCGATAAGACTGCCGGGAGTTAGTTTATCAGGAAGGAGAACGACACGGTTTATTCCAAGATAAATGTTTTCTGTTGCGTGCGTAGCTGGTATTATAGTAATTGGACTATCTTCACACTATTTTTCGGTAAGCTGTAACTGAAGTTTTACATTTCTGTGTGGCAATTAAACAATTCGGAGACGAATTACGTTTGAACATGAAAAGCACTGATTTTGGCAATGTGTACCGTGCCTCTTTTTTCTTGTTGACGCTGTTGTTATTATTAAAATTAGAATAGCCCTTCCATGTTAGTATTTCCACAACGGTGTGGACTCGATGGACTTCAGAAACCGTTGATATATTCACAATCCTCTCGGGTAAGGAAGATATTTATATTTATTTTATACTTACATTTTATATAAGACAATGTATACTTCGAGTAAAAAAAAGGAAAAGCTTTTCCTGTGAAAACCAAGTACAAAGGGAAAGTAGAATTTTAAAATCTGGAATCCAGCTACTTATGGAATCCGGAACCCACGAATGTGGAATCCGGAATCCACAGACAGGGATACGGAATCCACAGTGCGGAATCCGGAATCCAAGACTCTCTTGGATTACCTTACATGGGGCGAGATATATCTCCGTAGTTCAGCGATATATCGTTTTCGCCTCCCTGATACATTGTTTACATTCAACGAGATGCTGCCGCCTAACGATATCACGTTTACACTGAGCGATATATCACCACCGCTACGCGCTAGATCGGCGAGGCAACATTAGACTGCTCGGCGAATTCTCCATCAGACTGATACTATATTTGTAGTAAGCATAGTGTGTGGTTCTATTCGAATATCTGTCTCTTTGAAATCCATTGTACAACTGTAGGAGGACCCACCCCCAACTCATTGAAAACCCCTATGATAACTATTTTTGATGAATAATTAGTAGACTCAGTTGTGAGTGAATGAAGACACTGTGGCACGGGTTTTTTCGATGACTAAAGATGACATCGTTAGAAGGAGGAATACTGAGACTATTGCGCTAGAATAAAAAAAAATGCGCCGATTGATTAAATGAAAAAGCATCGACACGGCCTGCCCCCGGAAATTTAACTTTTGAAGATTGGTTCCTGCCCCACTGGGAAAAAATCACGTTCAACTGCACTTCCCAAGTTCCAGTTTTTGTGGGTCTCGATGAGGTTAACTGTTAGCCGTAAATCGGAAAAAAAAAAATCAGCCGTTAGGTATAAAAATTGACATATTTTAACCGCAAGTCATAAAAATAGAAGCTAACCGTAGAAAATTAAGCATTAGCATAATAACGTTGCCAAAATTTTAACCCTTAGCTTATTATGTCTCGCGTTTCTCCCTACTCTTCTTTCGTGCTCTGGCCGCTTCCTGCGTGCTCTACAATAGAACATAGCACAGTCAAGGGTTTTCTTTTTGTTAAATCAAAATAGACAGACTAACAGACTCAGATAGACACGGAGAAATAGACAGAGGAAGAGAACGACAAAAGTTCTTCGTGACTGCCGTCAAAAATAAAAAAAAGTTAAAAAAATAATAATAAATTATTCTCAAACTGCAATGACATTTTCAAAATTGCAGGCACGATGTTTTAAATTTACGTATCATGCCTACAGTTTGCTTATTCTGTACGGTACAGATTAATCTAACAGTTACTTGCCCTGAAATATATTTTTTTATCAATTACTTTATGCAGTCACACCAACCATGAAAGAAGTACTCAAGACACAGGCTGTATTTTTGAACAGAACTTCCACCCTGTGGTGCCCGGTGGAAGGTGCGCCGGCTCCATACGTTGTATGGAAGAAAAATGGTGTTGTTGTACAAAATAGTACCAGTGTAAGATATCAGTTTCTTGTAGCTGCAGAAAATAATGCGAATTACAGCTGCGAGATACGAAGAAATGAAAAGATATCAAGGAGAGAAATCAGCCTCACCATTGAAAGTAAGCATTTTTCTTACATCAGTGTGATAGAAACATATAAACTATTGATTGTATTACCTTAGCCTGTATTGTTTAATTAATTTCTTAACATCTTGTTTAATTTCTTAGCATCGTGTAAAATTTCTTAGCATCGTGTAAAATTTCTAATTATCTCTCCTCCCCGGGTCGTTGCCCGTGATGTAGTCGCTCTCGGCCTCAAGCTGCCCTGGTCCTCCAGACTATGATAAATCAGGTTAAACATCATCAGTTTTGAAAACTGTACTTATTAAACACAGTTGTAATAATCTCTTAAGATGGACTTGAGTGACAATCAGCTAAACGACTTGTCACAAGACATTTTCAGGAATAATACTCACCTTGGTTGGCTGCGAGCTAAGAATAAACAGATCTATATTGTGTATACTGTTAAGTGCAATGATATTGTAACAGATAATGGCAATGATATCTTGAATAACAAATAACAGTAAAAGTAATCAGCTTTGAAAACCATGATTTCGTAACAAAGACTTGAGTAACAACCAGCTGAACTACTTGCAACCAGATGTTTGAAGAAATAATATTCAGCTGTGGCAGCTGTAAGCTGATTTTAAACAAATCTTATGTTCTGTATACTTTACTAGGCGCAACGATGTGGTAACAGAGCGGACTAAAAATGATATGCTGAATAATAAATAAATAACATATATTTCATTAGCTTTGAAAACCGTGCTTATTCAACACAGTTGTAATGTATGATGCACGATCCTCGCAGTAGATAGCGCTATTTAGGCAATAGCGAAAATCAGACCTGAAAAAAATCAGGCCTGTACGGGATTCGAACCACTGACCTGATTTATCACTTTCACGGGTTTATTACGAATCAATTCAACGGCCTGCTCTCAGTTGGCTTGTTAGCTCAATTGGTAGAGCGCTGCACTAGTATCGCAGAGGTCAGTGGTTCGAATCCCGTACAGGCCTGATTTTTTTTTCAGGTCTGATTTTCGCTATTGCCTAAATAGCGCTTTCTACTGCGAGGATCGTGCATCATACGTATCTAATACCGCAGTTCAAAATATATGAACTTCATATATTTCATTGTAACAGTTGTAATGATTTATTATTAGGGACTTGAGTAACAATCAGTTGAACGACTTGTCATCAGACATTTTCAAGAACAAAATTCACCTGCAATGGCTGTAAGCTGAGATTACTTTCCATATCTCATCGATTGTGAACAGCTTTACATTACAAACTATACCTATTCAACACATATGTGGCAAAATCTGAATTAGAACTTGAGTAACAACCAACTAAAGGACTTTCCGTTGGAAAAATCCAGGAGCAGTAATCAATTGTGATTGTTCTAAGACGCTTTTTTTTAATCTATTGATTCTTAAAAGCATACTTCATCAGCATTATAACCCGTACGTGTTAAACACGGTTGAAACATCTCTTGAGGCGGTGTTGAGTACACTATCAGCTGTACAAGTTTCATATACACATATTTCAGCTCAGTAAACTGGAGGTTAAGGTTTAAACAAGTCAATTTTTTTTCAAGAATTACACACGCTGAGACTATTTATTTCTGCAAGTTATCATTTCCAAACTGATCTTTAACCAGTAGTCTAACCTCAAGAAGGCATCAAATGAAGTAGTTGTGGGTGTCAGAGAAGAGCCCACGTGTAGCCGTACCCTCCCTCTCCCTCCTACGAAAACCTGACACAAATCGTGTTCCGTGATGTCACTCTTTTGAAAGAAAGTGTATGATTCTTTTGTTATTGGTTAACCTGATCGTTCAGTACTTTCGTAAATTCTAATTGGCTAGAGTTGGTAGTTTTCTTTCGTACTGACGAATGATATTGTAAACAGAAAGCCTTCGTGATCGACTTGATCGACGACGAGGTTTTTAAGAAAATTTTGTGCGACTTTCGGGAAAGAGAACTTTCAAGAAGAAAGCAGAAAGTCATATATACTTTTTTCGAAGGTAACGATGTCTCCGTTTTGTTACCATCTAGCTATGGAAAATCTTCAATATATCAGGCCGCGCCAGTAACCGATCGCCTCTCTTTTCTGGAAGAAAGATTCACCATATTTCTTGCGGCTTTCGTTAAAGCTCTGATGGAAGACCAGTTGTACTATCTCAATAGACCTGGGTCAAGAGAATTATTTGCCTTCGACTGTCGGTCTCTTTGCGAACAGCAATGCAAACCTAATAAAGCTAGTTGTTACTTGCAGCGATCCTTTAGACTGAAACACGAGTCCCTCCTTCTTAACACTTGCTCTTAAAGAGATTCTGCGGCAAATGATCCAGCGTTTTCAACAACCGTGACACTAACCCTAAATGTAAGCAGAGACTGCGTGAACTTTGAAATATTTTTTCGTAAGCGCGAAGCCAATCGAACATTGTTCTTCTCGTACTCTATACCAAAATCACTCATTATCTTTTTCTATATCCTTAAAGCAAAGTATTCATTTGAACGCAGGCACTGAATAGCAAATTCACCCGAAAATAATGGAGAATTACTTCACGTCAGTGTTGTTGATTGCCTGGACTACCTTTCACTCTAGCAAGTGCAAAAAAATGTTATCAAATTACTAATCACTAATTTATGCGAAATTATGTAGTACATAATTTTGTATAAATTAGAGTGACGTTACAGAACATGATTTGTGTCCGGGTTTCGTAGACGTTTCCTCTCTTCCATTACTCTTTGGAGAAAGATTTATCAAGGACGATACAATTCTTCTTTTATCTATTCTTTTGTAAGAAGTAGGACTTGCTCAAAAATTAATTTCTATCCCGTTTTATCTTCTTATTAAATTTTTTTTCAAAACTATAAAATGCCACGATTTTTTTATGCTAGATACTTGAGCCAAAACAAGCTAAAGAGCCCACCACGAGGCATTTTCAGTGGCAATACCAAGCTCACGGGCCTGTAAGTTACCACCGCTCATTAATAACCTGAATTTCATGAGAAAAGATCAGAGAAAATTGATATTTCAAATAAACCGAATCTTTTATCGAATATTCTCTGTAGCTAAAAGGGACAAGAGGACTTTGTTCGAAGTTCTAAATATATCCTTTGTGCATGTGATGCAAATATTAACTTCGGGTACTAGAGGTATAGCTCACTGCGATACTGTTCGCTCTAGAAGGTCACAGTTGTATCCTTAATCATTTTCGAAAAGCAGAATGTAAAACCAAAGTAGAAGTGTATCTGATGCAATGGTGACCTCCACGAACACTCCTCTTGCAGTGGATGCTATTTTGAATTCCTATCTGCATACAATTATGTGCTTTATCTTTAAAAAGTAATGTTATTTCGCGTCAGAAAAAAAACGATCATCTTCAATAAGATGATTACGAAAAACTCATTACCACCTTGAAATCCTTTCATCTGAACATTACAAATAGGTTGACCAATGGCTTACTGTTTTAACAGACTAAAACTAAATATGAGTAAAATTGAATAATTGTTGCCAGGTTTACCTCAGAAGGTCTTAACGGGGAGATAGCTTTTGCGGGTACCATTTGACCTTTCTTACGGGTAATGGTTACTTCTTTTTTTTTTCTTTCTGTTCACCGCGCGTAACGGAGATGCT